ATCCTGAGTACTTTATTACTTGTCTTCAGGGGCGGCGGAGCGTCTTTAAAAGTGGAGAGGGGGCACAACAAAAAGGGGCTCTACAAAGGGGAAGCTCATAGCGATTTTTTTTTTTAAACTATTATTTTTAGACATTGCCATATCCCTTCATTGTAATACATTATCAGGGATGACTTTCAAGATTTTCTCTTTACCTACGTATTAAATCCAAGATCATGAGATACTGATTCAAAACGTATTTTCCGGGCGTATTTTGCAGTTGAGCTTGTGGTTTTATTTGCGAGCAAGCAAAATATTCAAGATTTTTTAGGTTGCACTGCAACCGATCACATGTTTATTAAGTACAATCTCATAATGACAGCATGAATATGACCTTTGATAACGTTACTTGATGAGACTGACTTACAAATGCGAGCGAGGGAGTTTTGAGGGGAAATTCGAGGGAAGATAATGCTCTCAGTCGGTTTAATGAGTTGCACATGTTAGAAGGCCGGGCTTTGAGAAATCTATAGGGGATCGAGATATATGAAGCATATATTTTTTTTAAAGCGCTTGTTATAGCACTAATACTCAGGTCTATTACATGAATGATATCTGGTAATGTAAATGCAGTTGCCTTGAGTTTGAAAACTCCTTCAATTTCTAAACCTTTATATTCTTGAACGAGTTAGTGATTGCCTGGTAGTCTATAATTCAAAAGGGCATTTGGTTTTAAAAATGCCTTTATAGCGGTGGAGTAAAATATGTCATGGTTTATAGTTTACAGGGGCAATCGCTTTATTGCAAAAAGAGCACACTTATTTATTTTGAAAACGAGCGCGGTAATCTTTCTAAAAACTATGTCTTGTTTCGTTCTGAAATTTAGGGCGTCGCCCCCTGAAGCCTCCCTTAGCTCAAAAGCCTTTTATGGTGGTGGTCAGGCGCGTACGCAGGGGGTGGTTTTGGGGTTGAACCCCCCCCCCCCTCGAGTTCTTTTTATGTGTATGTTTTATGTATGTTTTTTGGAAACCCCCCCCCCCTTTTTTTTATTTTAAACCCCCCCCCCCTTGAAAAAAATCCTGCGTACGCCACTGGTGGTGGTATAGAAATGAGGTACTTGTTTATTATACATAAACCTGCTCTGATTCTTTGAAACAACATAATGATTGGTTCTTTAAATGACCGCAAAAGAGCACACTTCGTAATTAAGCGAACGTGGGAAATTTAAGTAAATAAGAAACAAAAGCAACAATTAAGGGAAAGATCGCAGGTCTGTATGAACAGGGCACGTATTAGATGCGAAAAGGGGTATTTATCGGCAGGAAAAACGGTACTTATTAGAAACGAAAAGGTTCACGTTTCAAAGTAAATGAGTCACTTATCGGAGGTTAAAAGGGCTAACAAAAACTGTCTGAGGTAAAAAAAAGAAGCACTTATTAGAACGCGAAAGATTCTATTGCACTTTTTGTCAAAGTTAAATTAAAGGGGCTATTTCAGATTTTGATAGGGGCACTTTTCAGAGGTGAAAAGGGGTAACTTATATAAAAAATAAAAAATTAAAAAAAAGGAGAATGACACTTATTACCCGAGGAAATGTAGCGCTCATCAACAGGGAATAGTTCACTTATTAAACAGACAAAGGGACATGATTGTGTTAAAGTAAAAAGAGCAATTATCAGAGGTGAAAAGGCGCATTTATAAGAATGGGAGGGGGTATTTTTTATAGTAAAAAGGGGTACACATCAGATTTGAATAGGGACACTTATTAGAGCAATTATCATAAAGAAGGGGGGGGCTTATCTGAATTAGAAGGGGCACTTTTGGGATACTTGAAAAAAGCGGATGGGCACTCTGCCCCCTGCTCCCCCCCCCCCCCACGTGCATGTTGTTTCATAAAAAAGCATGTCTTGATATCGGGAAATGATGCAATTCAGAAGAAGATAAACAAATAAAGCAATGCTCTTTACCCAAATGAAGACAGACTTTCCACTTTGAACACAATAAAACTGTTTTCGAAAAAATCTCCTCCAGTTCCATTTCAATACCCATTTATACAAAGGCTATATTAGAATCAGTTTGCATGCATCAGGGTAGAAGGAGAGTGTAGTGAATATTAACATCAGACGGGGAGTCAGACATGGTTGTGTTATGTCGCCGGACCTGTTCAATATGTATAGTGAAATCATTCTAAGAGAATTGGAAGATGAAAATGGGATACAAGTGGGTGGCCATTCAATCACAAATATTAGATATGCTGATGACACTGTTTTGTTTTCTGAATCAGAGAAAGATCTCCAGAGACTCCTGAATGTAGTTGTAACAGAAAGTGAGAGAATGGGACTAGAGATCAACTATACCAAGACAAAGTGCCTGGTGGTCTCTAAGAAGAGCAGTCCAAAATGTAACTTGAAACTGAAAGAACAGATTATTAAACAAGTCTCCTCATTTAACTACCTCGGCAGCATGATCACCGAGGATGCCAGATGTGAGACAGAGATCAAGAGAAGGATAGCTCTCGCTAAATCTGTATTTTCAAAGCTAGGCAAAATTCTGACAAATCGAACAATGAGTATGAGGACCAGAATAAGAGTATTGAATTATTATACCCAGTAATTATGTATGGTAGTGAAACGTGGACTTTAGCCTCTGATACTAATTAAAGCGTTTGGAAAGTTGCGAAATGTGGTTCTTAAGAAGAATGATGAAATCCCCTGGACTGACAGAGTTAGTAATGAGGAAGTTCTTACACGAGCTGGAGTGCAAAGGAAAATGATACGTGAGATGTTGATTAGGCAGTTGAAGTTCATGGGTCACATTACACGTAAAGAAGGCCTAGAAAATCTTGCTTTGACAGGGAAACTATTGTGGGAAGAAGGAGTAGGAGAAGAAGGAGGATACTTTGGATGGACAGTCTGCAGAAATTGTTGGAAGAGAGAGGGAGAGGAGTGAAAGAACTGGGAGTGGTACTAATACAGAAGGCTAGGAACCGAGGGTTGTTGAACAGCATGATCGCCAAAGTCAATCGATATGGCACTTAGAGAGAGAGAGAGAGAGAGAGAGAGAGAGAGAGAGAGAGAGAGACCCATTTATATTTCCTATAAAGACGCCCCTCTTCTCCCTCCAATAGATCTTAACCCTATAATAAGGCCGGAGGGGCATTATGCCCCCCCCCCCCCTCCATGATTTTTCTGATTGTTCGGGAACGCATAGGGATGGCGCCCCGCCGCTCGCTGACTTTTTTTCTTTTGAGTCTTGCGCATCTTTAAGAAAAAAAATTGAAAATCGGACCTACAGTTACAAGGTCCCGTGAATAAAAATGTGATTTTATGACCTTATTTGCATAAATTACCATAAACATGCAAATGAGTGAATTTTTCAAAAAATTGAAATTACTTTATTATTCTATACACTTCATTTGACATGCGTGCAAATTTTCGCGGAGATCGGCTGTTTCATAATCCCCCCCCCCCCCCGGCCGTACTAAGACTTCAAATACCCCGGCCTTTTTAGGGTTAAGCAATGTCTGTCCGTCGATATATCCAGTGCATGTTTCTGTTCTATTTTTGTGTTTGATGTAAATTATGTAAAAGTTTCCTTTGAACAAAATGATTATTCTCATCCACTGAACAGCCCTATAGGCAGGGACGTAGCCAGAGTTCGATGTTTGGGGGAGGGGGGGGGGGGCACATACAGTAATCGATCTAGGTAAAAAAAAAAAAAAGGGGTCTAAAAAAATTCAACCGATCTTGGAAGTTTTAGGGGGCACGTGCCCCCCCCCCGCCCCCCCCCCCCCCCCCCGTGGCTACGTGCCTGCCTAGAGGATCTCTCGTTCTTGACAGAATGACATCGGACATATTAAAAACAAGGAAACTTTTCGCATGCAAATTAATTGGTAAATTTGGAAGATGTTTTGTTTTAGGAAGCATTGTGACGCAAGGTATAGATGAAAATGGTCAAATGGATGTTTTCAACGCTGCCACAAACCATGCAGCGTCTTTTAAAAATTTGGTATCAGTTTCCTTCTAAACACTGACCTTCCGGTCATTTACTGGTGGGCCTTTAAGTGAAATTGTATCCACATTACCGGAAGTATGCTAGTCCCGGGGTCATTTTGGCAGAAAAGGTTTTCAGTTTTTAGCGATTTTTCTCGAAATATAGAACAATATTTCACAATTTTCGGGTGTTGGGGAAACAAACCCATGTTTAGTGATATTTTTGTAAAAAAAACGGGACCCATGTTTGGGGAATTTTTTGTGTTCAAAAGCGACCCATTCGAGCGTTACATCCCCGTATGTCTTCATAATATGTGGGTACCCCCCCCCCCCCCCCCTCCCCCTCCTGGATGCTAGTCCGTTTTCCCCACCCTGTAGTATAACGGGCACTATTTGATTAATGCTGGATTTATTCTCCTCCTGATTTACGTCTAATACTATAGTACCCAGCAATTTTGATAATTAAATACAAGTACATGCAACTATGCTATCCAATATGACGAAGATGCATGCCAGGAAGATTATAATTTCCCTTTTCATGTAAATCTGAATTTCAAAGTCTTGGATGATTTTAAGATATACTGAAATGATATTAAACTGTATCGGAACTGTGTGCGAACAGCTTATGTCATGTAACATATCATAATACAGCTTTGGGCATACTGAATCAGCTATTCAGAATGGTACAAGTACGTTCAATAAAGAATATAATAGTTTTAATTTGTACTGTCAATGCTCTAGATGAATGCGGTCATAGAATGGGGCAGTGAAACAGACGCACGATTGATGCAGATCGAATCAATTCGTTTTTCGATAATACAGCAACCGGCAATCTTTTAAACAATGGCAAATTTCAATAACCTTTAAAGAACATTGCCAGAGCATGTGGGGATGGGTGTGGTCGCCAGGCAGCGGAATTAGAGACAGGCAGTTTCTCCAGGATCAAGATGGAGAGAAAAAAGCGCGAGCATTTCAAAGCAGAAGCTCTTGCAATCAATTATTCTTGTTTTTCAAAGATACCGTACTACTTCTAAAGTGAAGTTGCCGCCGCGCCGATAAGCATCCAAATTTCCATCATTTTTTAGTAGTTTAACCCACTTTAACGTATAGCTACAAGTTAACAAGGAGTCTTAAAGTAAGTTCTTTATATTCAAATGATTTTTCAGGTATTAAGAGTGTACGATTATGTGAAATATGTCTTTCGTGAGGTGGTGAATTGTGTGTGCAGTTGAGTTGTGTTGTAGATCCCTGCTTGCAGTTTGGACTTGTTTAGTCCCGCATGTTGAAATTGATGGGGTATTTGAAGGCGGGTCTTTGCATTCTTTAAATTGACTGTCTCATGGTGATCATGTCAAGAGAGAAGACGCAGGCATTTTCTCTTTAAAACCAGAAACAAGCGCGATTTGTATAGGAGAGCCATTTTCATGATAGATCTAGAGGTCTAGAGTCTATTGCGTGAATTAGATAGATCTAGATCTATGTGAACAAAAAAATAGAATTCATTGGCATTGCATCTCCTTACCTTAATAAAAAAAGTAGCATTTTGAAAGAGGATGAAAAATAGATCTAGATCTACATCTAAAATAGTTAATAGTCAAATCACCTAGATATTTTATATGCAGGTAAATAAATAAATATGCTTTTGAAAGATATAAAATTCAAAACCATACTTAAGTTCTTTCGTTGAAATCTGATGCTTTGAATATTTAGTCAATCTTTGTTTGCACGTAGCTCCGGTTCTGTTCATCGCACACACAAAGTTGAAGAACGATACCAAGTGGAATTTCCCCCTTATCTCGATCGATACCATATTCATGATGTAAGCGCTAAAGCAATTTGAATAGAGCCCTGTCGGTGCATTTGAAATTGATCGTGAATTAAGAGCGCGGTACCAAATTGATGCACCGTAGATGCGCGGATAGTCACGTACCTACATCCATTCATTGTTGTGTCAGTATTTGACTACATGGAAGTTTCGCAAATCTTGCCAATAGAAATATTTACAAACATTCCATTCATGCCATAATGGCTTCAAGTTTATGCTCATAATTAATATTAAATGCTCCAAAAGTTTCTGAAATTAAGTTTTTTCAGTACTCTGCCATATGCATGTGGGGCTTATAAGAGAATGCACTTGCCTTTCTGCCTTTCTATGTTTGTGAATATCTTATCTTACTTCTTAGTGTAGAAGCCAAGTGAAAAATTAATCGGACAATAAGAAAGTAGAAACCATGCTCCATTATTCAAATTCAAACGTGAAAAAATAAACTTTACCACATGTTACAACTTCTCAAAAGCCATAGACTAGAGAAAAAACAATTGTTTTATCTCTGCCCTATGATGCTAAGGTCGGGTATTCTAAATGTGGCACCTTCAAAACACATCTATTTAATATCTGCTGAGCTATGTTTGCAAATTGCTAACATCATCAAATGTATAGATTTTTCTTTCATGGGGACCTTGTGATGATTTATTCCATTAACCCCTTATCAGTGAATAAACTACAATACTTGGAATCCAGCCTGCAAACATTACTTGTTGCTAAGTCGGGCAAGCCTCAGGCAAGCTTTCAGGATGTCAAGAACAACCTTTATATAAAAAGTATGCATAAAATTAGAATATATAAATAAACCGGTCTAATTTTTCTTTCCAGATCTAGAAGTCATGCCACTCACAAACAAGACTAAGGTGATGCTGGCAGTGGCATTCTCTGTCACTGTCACCGGTTTGATGGTCACGGCCAGTCTGCTTAGAAGACGCAAACGTCGTAAGCAACCCAGGACCATGGTCAGACCTATAACTAATGTTTTTTCTAATGCAGGTAAGTTCCAAGCACTCAATAATTCACTGCATATTTTGCACCTACTGTGACTTCAATAGATGTACCGGTCCGGTATGTACAGGGGGGTGTTCATTATTACCTTGTTATTGGATGTATTGAAAAAATGTCAAGATTTGCAGGTTTATCTGTCATCCAAGTTCCATCTTCCGTCCCTAAGTCCTCTTAGTGTCGGTGTGTAATGTGCACATTGCTTCAATGTTAATTTTCATCCAATCTTCAATTCTAAAGGTATTATCTGAGAAAGCAATCGTACGAACATTACCTACATACACAATTTGTGAATAGTAATTGGCAACAATCAGGAGAAAAGAAACAAATTATGATTGTTTATTGACCAATTAACATTTGATATACTTAATAACTATAAACACTGGTAAGGTAAGCCCAAATTTGTAACATTGGCTAACTTTTATCAGTAAACCCCAACAATTTAGTTGAACCTAATCCTGGATTTAAATCAAGTGTAACAAAAGAAAAAAATCATTCCTCAGACTAACTTCCTTGTCTGTCCTGAATTTGAACAAAAGTCTTAACCAATTGTCGGGTTTAAACTTTAGTTGAATAAAGGCCAGAGTATTTTGGACTATAAGTAGATGAATCGGACATGTATCTTAAACGGACGCTCATTCCGTTATTAAGGGTCAGAAAAAGGTGAACAGGGTATCAAAAAAAGGTTCTTGCTTTATAACATCTTGGACCATAAGATATTTTGTTCTTCATCAGTTATTAATTGAAATGATTGATTTTTATTTCTCATGCAAAACATAATACAAAAATAATTATATCACAACAAATATGTAATGAAACGATAAATAATGTATAGTGGAAATAGCACGAGAAAAGAGGAACTAACTTGAAGCAGAGCTTGTTGAAGTGTTAGTTCCTCAGATGCAAATTTTACAATAAAACATGAACAAAGTATGCTTATAGATCAATAAATAGACAATATGTAGCTAGGAAGAAGGAAAAAAAAGAAGAAAAAAATGAGGAAGAAAAAGGAAAGAAAAGAAAAAAAAGATGAATGGAGGAAAATAGTAGAAGACAAAAACAAAAGCTCTAGAAAAGGGAGATTGAGAAAGAGATTGAGTCGAGAGTCAAACAAACCGAGATTCTATCATGTACATCTATATGTGTCTAAAGTTTAGTCTTTAACTTTTTTTAAAAATGCATAGACTAATACTTTGTTTAAAAGATGGATCTATGTTATTCCAATTTACTGGACTGGTGTAAATAATTGTCTTTTGTGTGAAAGCTGTTCTCATTCGAGGAGTGTGGAAGATACATACCGGTAGATTGAATTTAAATGTATTGGTTCTTTTGTCCCAAAACAGACTTTTGTCTTTGATTCTTAAATGTAGCTCAATGTAAACAAGTCTTAGAGACAAACTCAATAGTTTTGGATTTCATAATGTAATCAAATTTAACGCACAAATTATTTCATTCACATGTTAAGAATAATTGTATTTCAATAGTATTTGCGAATTGCATAATTCTGTGTTGCAAGGTAGGACAAGCCATAGTGTCTGTGCTACCTACATGTAGTAACAGTTAATGGATGCAATGTACAGTTTGACTATTGAAATACAATTATTCTTAACAGGTGAATGAAACAATTGTAATGTGGCTCTTAACAAAGATTTATGCATTAAATTTGATTACATTACAAGAATGATAATGTAAGAATGGTCTATTCCTCAGATACAGCTAGCAGCAACCAGCAGCCTCGTCCCTACTCTCGTCAGTTGACCAGTTCCCCCAAGGCGGCCCCCAGACAGAAAGTGCCACCAATGAGGCCACAGTCCATCTCGAGTGCCCGGGCGAGTAAAGCCAGCTCCATCAGCTCTCTGTCGAGCGTTAGTACTCTGCGCAGCGGAGGGGCTGGTGGTGGTAGCGGAGCTCTGACGCCGATCAACACGTCGGATATGATGACGGTGGAAGGAATGTTCAATCTAGGTTTGTGGTGTTACTACTCTATTCTATTGATTTGAAACACTTAATTACTGTATTCTCTCTTGTTTGCTCGCTCTCTCTTTTTCTCTCTCTTTTTCTCTTTCCCTCCGTCCCTCTCCCACTGTCTCTCTCTATCTGTCTCTTTCTCTCCTCTCTCTCTGTCTATCTCTCTCTCTCTCTCTCTGATTTCTTATATCAATCTAAAAGTTCCCAGCTTACTCTTACTGACCAGAAGCTAAAACTATGAACATGACAAACAAAGAAAGCGGACAAAATATACAGTTCCTTAGGTAGACAAAGTAACATCCCTTCACTGCTATTATGTAAAACGGTGAATATGCATGTGACACCTGTTCTACACATTTTTACATAATAGCAGTGAAGGGATGTTCCTTTGTCTACCTGAGGAACTGTATATTTTGTCCGCTTTCTTTGTCTGTCATGTTCATAGTGTAAAGAGGTGTGATAGAATAAATCTTCCTATTTCGGTCTTTAGTTCTTGTATCATACCCAGTAGACTACTGCTCTACCACTGAGCCATCACAATTTTTCTTGAACTGTTTGTTTTCAATCTTTCATTGGCACATTCTAGTAGCCCATTCTTCTCGTCAAACAGATACTCATTGTACTCTTTGTTTACCCACAGGTAAAGAGGCATTTGAGAGGGCTATCAGCTACTGGAGAACTGCTCTTCATGTGCAACACCAATCACAAACTGAAATAGATGGACAGATACAGGTAGGAAACAATTTTATTTCATATTCTGCAAATTAAATTGGGAGCGTGTCATAGTTTCAAGATTTTTTGGGGAAAAATTCCATTAACCGTTTCGCACAAATTATTCCACATAATGTGGTTTGGCTCAATAATTTTGATTAAGAGCCCTAAAAGATAATATCAGATGCACAATAGAAACGGCAAACATTTCTGCATACACTGTAACCCTGTTTGTTTCATGAGTATATTTCATTTGATGCTAGGAATTCTAAAAAGGAAAATTAAAATTAAAATCCTTAAGTTGGCAACACGTTGAGAAATTGAAAATTATTGTTTTGTTTTGAAAACTTTTCATCAGTAATTCTTGCCCATGTACATGTATATTGCTTTTATTCTATCATTGAGTGGTAAAAGAAAAATAATAATGTCAAGATGAAAAACTATATTTAATCAATTTAGCCCTAAAAATAAATTGTTTCTGTTTTGTATTCTATGTACAGGAGCCAGTCGACTCCAATTTCATCAGTCAGCTCGAGAAGTTAGTAGAAGCTGTAGACAGCCTCCGTCCCGAGATGGATGATACAGCTAACAGGTTATCGGCTTCTAATCTCGGTGACCTATCCCTAGACATCAGTCACGTTAGCAATGCATCATGGGATAGGGATTTCTCTCGTAGTATCAAGAGTGGTGACAGTGCCTCGGACTCAGACTCTTTTGTATCGGCAGCAGAGGTAAGAATATGGAGCTTCTTATGTCATTAAAGGGATTGGGTATCTTTGTCTCATATGTTAAAACAAAATCTTGGATTTAGCTCATGCTGCAATGATAATTATAAACCTTTAGGTCAGTCAGGAACCCCATGACTTTTACAAGCCGATCGCCTGTCTGACTATCAAGATTCTGTTTTCCTAACGGATTATATTACACTACAGTCTGTTGGGAAAATGAGTATGGTAAAACCGGTCACTCAAAGATGTTTACTTTTTTGAGGCACTTCATGATCATTTTGAAGCGCAATCTTTTTTAAGGCTTCAATATTACACCATATTACAGACACTGATAACATGTAGGGCCATGCATCTCAGATTTAACATTGTTAATTGTAATTGGTTTGTGTTGGTCGACTAGTTCATGAAGTCTTTCTTTGTTTGTCTCCCTGTCAACCTCAGCTTGGAGACCTTTCATCACTCACCAGTGAGCTGAACTTCTTCTCTGGAGATGAGAGCTCTCCAGAGCTGTATATCCGAGCTCTGAGGGTGGTCAAAGAGGGCGGTGTTCAAGCAAGAAGACTCAGGTATGATTTTTGTCAAAGTACAATTAAATTATTCATACCCTTACCAAGTTTTGTAATTTTATAAGTTTGTGAAAAATTTGATTTGTCCCGATTTATGTTGCTTGAGAATGTGACATACTAAAGCTTAAAGATGAAGTTTAGTTCTGGTCATGTGATTGCATTGTGAAAAAAACGGTGTGGAATCGACCAGAAAAGGTTGATCATCTAGCATATAAGAATTTGTGTGTATTGCAAGGTTCTGGAATCATCAAAATGATAAGAAATTTGGCCAAGTCTTGGTAAAGTTACAAACACTGTACACAGAAAGATGTATATGGGACTACACGAACATGTGGCGTAAAAATCCTACCCCGGAGTTTTACAATTTTACATGACATATTTAGAATATGAAGGCATCTGAAGAGCCATGCTTTTCAGGGAACATGTCTTATATGATGTTCTTCCACACTTGCATAATAAGAATGATAATGCTCACAAATTATTTTTCACCTCTTCCCAGAACTCAACCTCCTCTTTAAATCTAAAAGTATTCAACAAAAGCCCTAATTCAACCAGTCCACCTTTCATTCTTGAGGTACAAAAAAAAAACAAAAACATCAAATTTACAAGCGGTATGAATAACGCAGTTGTTAACTGTAAGTCAGTAACGCATCTACAGTTTTCTCCTCCTTGTTGTTATTGAATAGACAGATGAGTGTGACCAGTCAACAACAACAAAAAACAGTTTGCTCTATGTGTTTTAAGTGTACTAATTCCAGTACCGGTATTTATTCAAATGTTATTTTGTAAATCAATATTGCTCGTTTTCTAGAGAGTTGGCCACTAAGACATGTTTTGACCATAGTTGATGCAGTCGTAGGAACCCACATTGTAATGTAACTAAACTTCAGAGAATTTCACAGCTATCACATTGTATTCTCTCATTAGAACTGAGGTTTTGCAGTGTTCCAGTGATGAGGACTTCCTTGCTAAGCTACATTGTATTCGCCAAGCCACCATAGTTCTGTTCCAAGATAGCAGCGTCAAAGACTACTTTTCAGACGTCGGCCTGCAACTGACTGCTGATCTTTTGTGGCACGCAAACTATGTAAGTCTCATATCTTTTCTAGACACCGTCTCCTTCCTTTTAGCCTGTGATTTTATCAGTATTCATGTATTAAGGATATGTGCAACTCCATTTTGAAAGTAACAAACCTGGGTCCCGTTTCATAAGAATTGTTATCAATATCAAGTTACAATAACTTTTATAAGCTACTGAAATCGTGACATTAGATTGGCAGAGGGAAAATCTGCCATAGAAATTTAGCATTGGTTATTGATAACAATTTTTATGAGACAGGGTCCTGGACCCTACTTTCTCCCAATACTCACACTGTTGGTGTTGTATGAAGGTTCTCTTCCTCTCTTTCTCTCTCATACACTTTTTGTATCACACTCTCTCTTCCTTGTTTCTCTGCCATTTGTTTGCATTGTATTGTTGGTATATATTGCCCCACAACTGTGACTACGAAGTTGAACTGACTCACATCTTTCTTCTATATTGTGTAACAATCCAGATTGCAGATATTGTATTCGTGGATACATGCGGTATTTCATTACACTTTGCTGATTGAATTATTGTAGCTTATCATGCCAACAACATACCGGTAGACTCTAAACATCAGTGAAAAATATGAACAGAGAGAAGACATTAAATGAAGCGTGGAACAGAAAAGTGGTGACTGATATAATTCATACCGGTGATATATTGCATCATTTCTTTCTTTCAGGACACTCAAGGATTTATCAAGGCTTACGATGAGATGATGTCATATGTGAAAGACCAGAGCAGCTGGAAAGACATTGAACAGGAGCTTAATGGGAGGAAGGTAGGGGAGTCGTTCACATATGGACATTTACATAGGTCACACTAAACAATAAACCCTTTTTTTTAAGGCCAGTCTATATTTAATTAATTTATGTTGTTGTTTATTTGATTGTTTTATCTGACTACTAAGAAAGCATGACTGCTTGTAAGTAAACAACCAGGGGACCCACAGCTTTAAGCTTTTTTTAGTTCAAGCTGTAAAATACTTATTTCAAATGCAGTTTGTAAAGCAGAAATACTGATGAAAAAGCTACGTCTAATTGTTTTAATTTGATTTAATTTGATTGATGTTTTCAGGTGAAATTCCTTTCGTTCTATGACATTGTGCTGGACTTCTTTCTTCTGGACGCCTTTGATGACTTGGCCAACCCACCCTCGTCCATTCTAACTGTCATTCAAAACAGATGGCTGTCAGATGGAGTCAAGGAAACAGTAAGTTCTTCTGTCTATCTATTTTTCCATCTATCTGTTCATATTTCTTCTGGCGTCCTTTCTCTCTCGATCGATCGGTTGGATATCAAAACAGCAACATTTTGCCAAAAAAACTAATAATCGGGAACGTCGCTCAAATCTCGCTGGTTTCTAGCTGGTGCAGTGCATGGTATATACCTGTACACGAGGCCGGGTCTACTTGTTTACGCTAACAGGATTTTTAAACTATGGCAGAAGACAAGTGAGAATTTGGGAATTAAAAATTTAAAAAACTTATTTTTGTTTATTTACTAAACATTTTTTTCTTTAAAAAAAAACTTTATTAAAAAGCCGACTATAGATTTTAAGATTATTGGGTTGGTCGCAAAGGGCAATACAACATCTTTTTTTTACTCCTTAAAGTGCAGTACATATTTCTCTTTAATGTGGCATGTACTTGCTTTATTTTCACTGTTTTTCTTTTCAGGCTCTTGCTACAGCTGTTTGGTCCGTGCTAGCGGCAAAAAGAAGAATGCTTCAGGTAATGACTTCCACAAGGCCTGGCTAAGCATTTGTAATATTTTATCTCATGAATATCAAATTTTGCAGTTGTATTACCAAAATCAGTGTATATGAATTGGCACCAATGAAAAATGCAGTATTTTGTTACGGCTTACACTATTGCAAGCTATTTTTAAGTACACACTCAAGGCCTAAAAAACTGTACTGTTATGTACCGTTAGCCCTGGCATAAGGGTTAAATGAAACAAGGTCATATATCATTATCAGAGTCAAAATCAAAATATCTATTTAAAAAAAAACTTTTATTATTAAACTTACTGTCCTGTGGGAATTTCAACATTTCCGTGAATGTAACGTTGTGAATCAACAGCTATTTTGTGATTGCCAATTGCTTTTTGAAGCTTAGTTATTGGAAATCACAGCTGAATTTAAGAAAATTGAATTGAACCACACTAACTCAAACCAATTATGTATTTAAAGGTATTACAAAGTTTTGGGGAATTTTTGAAATTGACTAGAAAATTTAGCCCTTAAAACACTTCTGCTTTTAAGTAAAATTTAATATAAAAATTTACCGGTGCTCCCAGTAAATTTTGTTATTTTTCAAATAGGACTACGGCCATACAATGATAGCTGCGACCATAAAATCTCAGAATATGTAGTTGTGATATATAATTTCCAAACAGGAATAGCCAATCGGTCGATTTTAGTCAAGAAACATTGTTTCATAGCTAAATTATTATCTTGACCTTGAGAGGGAGCGACAACGATCAATGAATATTGTAGGATCGCATATGTTTCCAATATGTTCATTTGAACCAAATTCATGAACCCATACCAAAACTTTGTAATACCTTTAGTGAAGAATATATTTCTTTCAACAATATGCCCACCATTATTTTCACCGTGCAAAATTCTTCTACAAATTTGGTTATATTTCAGAATCCTAACGGCTTCCTAGCTAAGATGTACAGTATATCACATAGCATGACTCCAGCATTAGCATGGGGGTTCATGGGTACTAACGAGGAGTTGAAGACACTCATGATCTGCTTCAAGGTATGTATACCTAACCCTTTCTGGGGGGGGGGGGTGTTTCACAAAGATCCTAAGTCGAACTCAACTCTAAGTTGGACTTAAAAATTATGGAGAGCCATTTGTAGCCTTAAAATGAAATATATTCAAAAGAGCAAATTCAAGTATTTTAGACTTTTTATACATTCCACATCAAGAACATGAAATCTCCTCGATAATAGAAAATATGAATGAGTTGAATCAACATTTTATGCCTTTTAAAATGAATTTTACAAAATATTTTCATAGATGCCAACGGCTTTCCATAATTGTTAAGTCCAACTAAGAGATAAGTTCAACTTAAGATCTTTGTGAAACACTCCCAAGAACAATCATTCCACTCAATAACATTCGATCCAGAGACCTAAAATAGATGTGCCAGATGCATGAGTGGAAAGGGCTAAACTTTCTGCACACTGCATCCATTTTGTTTCATCACTATATTGTGTTTTGATGCCAGGAATTTTAGAAATGAAAGTAAGTTTTTTAAATCCCTAAATTGGCAACAAATTGAGAGATTCGAAATTGTTGTACAATGGCACCTCGCAATAAAGCGATATCATGAAGTGTTTTTTTTTTTTTTCATTGGAAAATCAATTGATATGGCCCAAGAATTACACCAACATACTCATTCACATATCCAATGGCCTTGATCTATGGCATATATTGTACATTAACTCTTTTGGGAAGTGAACTGTCAAATCCTCTTCAAAGTGAAGGCTCAAATTATGGCTTTGCTAGCTTTGAGCCATCAAGATTTTCCTCCAGAAGCAGCCTGAGTCTGTGATCCAGTATCAATTCAATTTAATTCAATTCAATGTGGTTTATTTAAAAATCAAAGTTTTAGTCCAGGGACTAATTGCACAATGTTTACAATGTAAAAATTATAATAAAATAGGATCATCAATTTAATCAACAAAGGAAATTAGTAAGAAGGATATTACATAATCATTACAAATCAAATAATAATTACAACCTTTATTTCTTTTTCTCTGTATATGTGCAGGAACAAGTTACGCAATTTTGCAGAGACATCTTCTCGTTAAAACGGTGCAGATACTCCTCTATACCCGAGCTTTCAGAAGACATCTATTCCTTGGCCAGAGAGTATGGCACCATCATCAATCAAAAATTGAACGCAAGCTGAGTAAGCTGAGTGTTTTGAGGAGCAAGGTAATTCCGACGGAAAGCGAACATCCTTGCGGTAATCAATATGATAATTACCTGCCGATGCATTCATTACTCACTTTGAGCTATATTGCCAAGTGCGGTGGATTTCAGAGAGAGAAACATCAGAGATAAATCCTTCGAGATATGGGTATTGACAAGGGCATGTATATTTGTGATTGCATCTTCAAGCTCCAAAATACTTAAAAGCGGGACTGCACTACTTGTAGCTACTTGTGCACTCTACATAGCCAACTATGCCTAATCCCCTTAATCCCCCATGGTCTCCTTTTTCTTATGTTAATTGAGAGCTGTTTTGATGAGATAACCACCTGCCAGTGACCACGCAGGGAGGTCTAATCCCTCCTGGCCAAACTAGTGCAGACAGTCCGTAACAATCTTTCCCTAACCATCCCCTGTGATGCTGCAACGCTAGTTTACTCGCTGTGGACCACGTTAAGTTATTTTTTGTTGTTGCTGAAAATGAGGTGTTAATGTATCGGTTATGTAGTAGAGTTTAAACATCACACCTATAGTGGCCTGGACCCCATCTTATAAAGAGTTTATATTGATCGCAACTTATCAATCGCAACTATGTAAATAAGAGATAGGAGACTGCAAACTTGCGATTAATTGGAGGACTTGCGATAAGACAGTGCCCCAGTGTTCCATGACTGATTTTTAAGGTTTGAATTGAAATTTCAAAACATGAAAGCTGAATCGAGCATGTTTTCAAAATGCTACTTATCAAAAGGAATACATGTCTTAATCCAATTCATGCATTATTAGCCTGAGAAATTATTTAAATCCAATAATCATAATGATAGTCATTTAAAACAAATTATATAACAATTATAAAAAAGAGCAGAATACATTAAACGATATCTCTCCATTCCAAAAAAGAATATATCCTAAAATATCTCAAGAAGTAATGTGTCATTCCTATACAACATACATGGACAATGTATATTCCTGTTATTAACAATAAACTGTCAAAAGAGTGATACAAAACATAATACTTTGTAATTTTGCACTCACTTGAATAGATTTAGAGACTCACTGTGGACATATAATCACTGCCATAATGATTAACTGTTTTCATGCCACGTGTAAACTTGCCATGTTTTATTGTGCCATATTTGGTAGGTTAATCTAGTAGCAAACTTTAGAGCTGTTTTTATTCTTTCTATTTGCTAAAAAATATGGAACACAAAATTTTACAGTGCTCATGCGGTATAGGACTTACATTTTTTCCCCATTATTCCTTTTTTGGAAATCATCCGTAAGTTTGATGAAGCAAATATTTACTTAAATTTTGGTTATATGATATCCCTCGGGTATATACCAATGTGTGTTTTTTTTCCTACAACATTCAACATAATAATTTCTCCCTCTGTATGTTTATAGGCTTTCATTCATAACAGGGTCTTTCTTGCAATTTCTGTATACTTTTTATTTCATATTTAGTTATGACCAACTATCCAATTGTGAAAATTCTAAGGAAAAATGTTTTTTTTAAAGATACGGTATGTGGAAAATTCAGAAATATTGATGCAATTTGAGTTTTGGCCACGCACAATTGTAAAATTTGGTATCTAATTTAGTATAACAGTCGCTTTTATTAACCAGTATTCATTTCAATTTTATATTATTTTGAGCAGTATTATCTATTCACCATGGACTATAGTTCCATGAATATCGACTCCTAATGTTTGACCCAGGTTGTTGATTATTTAGAATAGTTATGTCTAGGTGTCACAAACCTCGCCTTTCTTGTGAGAACTGTAACTAAGGTTACTACTGATTTAATGGAGAAGTTCTGCTTGTATTTAATTGTTTATATAGTTTCCCTTTTCTATAGCATGGTCATTATATGAATGTTTTAATCTATCTGTATATATATAATCAACCATTATCATGTGCAATAAGTATGCTTTCTTATTTCTTATTATGGGAACTAACTTGAATTTTCAGAATCCATTTGCTACACTACAGTAATTGTTTGTTCTTATGAAAATAGTCAAAGACACCACATATATTACTACTTATTATTGATAGCTTTCAACAGCAATTCTTTGTTTACTTTGTTCTGTTCAATTATTGCGACCAGTTTGCATTGTCATTGTACATAGCATACCAACCATGGGAGACTTCTGAAAATGAATACAATGATCAGATATGCAAGAGACATAAATGTAGTCAATAACACCAGAAAATAGAGTAGACTTCCCAAATTAATACATTTCCTTGTACTTCTACCTTGATATAAATTGCCAAGTAGCTTTGTAAAGTCAATGGCACTGTAATTATTGAACCATGGATTAAGTGATAAGATCATTGTCTCAGAAAGCTGTTGTATTATCCTTGATTCGCGCCACTGACTTTGTATTGCGATGGTTGTCATGCACATATGATTTGAGTCTATGCTCAGAGTCTAGACCGGAACAACCACAAACAGGTGAATCTACTTTTGTGTGTTTACCAAAGGCAAACCGATATCCAGTAGCAGCTTTATTATGATCTAAAAAATATTTCATTAGTGTGAGAAAAGCATCAGATTCTGAAGAAATAAAAATGATACCTTTAGCAGAATTCTGCAAGCAGTCTTATTCATGTTTCCGCATGGTGATTCTGTGCTATGTGTTCTCTGCAACAGATCGATTCAGCCATTTTTATCCCATTCAAAAATATAAAAAAATCTTTTGATATGACCATTGACTAACGATAGCAATACCATAAAGAATCATCTGTGAATGGTTGAACAGTTAACAACTAAATTATTGATACCCTTGCAAAGTTTTGTAATTTTTCAAGTATGAGAGAAATTGATTTTTTGAGATGTGACATATTAAAGCTTACATCTAAAAGTATTCAACAACGATCATAATACAACCAGTCCACTTTTCATTCTTGAGTTACAAAAAAAAAAAAAAAAATTACAAAGGGTATGAGGAATTTAGTTGTTAAATGTACAAGAGATTTATATTTTTAGGATGATATAAATGGATGTAAGATTTGTGTCTTATGGACAAGTTTGCGCAGAATAATTTTGAATTGCTCTGCATTCTCGCTGATCAGCTGTTTCGATCATCTTATGACATTTTAGGTTATTTTTCATTGTTTAATTGAATACTGGTATGTGTTTTAAATCTGTGCATAATTACAATACTGTTATGTGATGCTGTGTGTTGGACCTTTCTGATTCCTATGCAATATAAATGCATGCATTGTTGTTGAATGCCTGGTTGTATTCAATGTCTGTATTAAAAAACAAAATGAATAAATAAAAAATAACTTCAAATTTCATTAACTGTATGACTTGTATTATGACTTGTATTATGTTTTTGTGTGATACTTAAGTATTTAAATGGCACTTCATGTAAGATGTGTCGGGTTTACCTTGTCAATTCCATGCAATTCAACAAATCCCATACTACATATGTCTTTATTTTCCATTTATTTCATCTAAAAATGAATAATATCTTGTTATGACTATTTAATAATGTTAGTGATAGCAAAAAGAACAACTAGCTAATAGTCACATCAAGATATTTCAATTTGTGGATGAAATAAATGGATAAATGTCATGTCTAGAGAACGTCATTTCAAGCTTATGCTTAAGACAACCCTTTTTCTGTATAATACAGTCATATACATCTAAATTTATAAGATTGTAAATGTATATACAGTCAAACCTGTCTATAGCGACAGCCCAAGGGAAACACAAAAAGTGGTCTATGTAGACAGGTGGTCTTTGTAGACTGATGCTTTTAGTGATTCAATGAGAAACCATTTTCGAGGGAAACAAAAATGCGGCCTTTGTAGACGGGTGGTCACTAAAGCAGGTTTGACTGTATGTTGTTGATGTATGGAATACATAAACATCAAATATCCTACACTGCACAGAATCACCGTAAAGACTCCATAACTACCTTTCATTAAACTTGCATCCTTTCAATATTCTGACACAATCAAATAAAGGAATTAAAGTATCAGACATTATTGCTTATGTCACAAAGTTAAAGACCCTGACTTTACAGTGGCCTTTTTTTATTTTTTTTATTATTCACTCCAATATTCACAATTGTCATTAGAAATATAAATAGAAAACAGACATGGCATTGAGATATAAAAAATGTACATGACAAGCATAGAGCATCATTATTCATTAATATGAAGATTAAACAAGAAAGAAAACAAAATGAAAGCTATGGGTTTCTATAGATCTTGAAGTGGGGTATACTTTACAAATGAAATCATTTTTATACAGTTTTAAAATACATGCATTTAACATAAAAGAGAACAAAAGAAGTAAAATCAATACCTTTTTTTTCATAGGACAGCTAGAATAACATCACAGCCTTCCCCAAGTAAAATTGTTAAAAAGTACTTAAAATACATTTTAACGATAACTCTTATTTAACAAGTGCACTGCCATTGTGCCAACATCTTGTACTTTGAAAATGTGGAAAATAGATGAAACATGGTTACAGCTAGTGCATAGTATGAGCGGATCAGACATGAAAGTACTTATTGTCAGCTGTAGCTGAGACAACACAAAATGAACTGACTTCTTTGGCATTGCATTGTATCCTCCATTGAATATTCTACAGCAACATGAGACATTTTTATGTTGATCATCTCTAGACTTGTTTCAATAGTCATTTCGATCTGACATGTAAAAATAACTTGCTATTAGTAGTCTTTATGTATGCATCTAGAAAGACAACAGAATTGATGTAACCATCATTGGTGCCAAAGCCTGCTTTAAACTGGTAATCTTCGGCACAGTCTTATTATCTATAAATCACAAACAAAAGGCTTTACAAGAAAAATTGAGCAAAAGTATTCCTAACAAATCATGTAAACAGAGGTATTACTTTACAATGAAAGCATTACTCAGCTAAACAAATCCATTGCTTATGTACAGTTTTACTACATATCTGGAAAAAAAAGGATAAGGTAAAATATCATTTTAATCTCAAACCCAATTCAAGTTTGCTAGCAGTGGAGATATGACCAACAATGTTTGTAGAGGGTCTTTCTCTGAATTATAAACGTGAAAACAATATATCCAATGCATGACTGACTAGACAGGGACCTCTCCCCATGAGCAAGGGGTTGCGTACCTCTTCACTTTTCAATGAATGAAACAAATTAAAATAGTTTACAGTTTACACTATAAAATAAATTTCCATAAAAGTAATCCTCCGTAGTAAATAATCTTGATATACAAACATGATTTTATGATCACAATTACTGACAAACCTAATAGATACTTGACATAGATATAGTCATGCAATAGTCATTACTTTGTTCACATGATTAGACTTCTTACAATTCTTACTAATATATTTGAACTGATTTAAGAATTTAGAGTTTATTGCTTAATTATGGTCATGACCATGATACTGAAAGTCAGAGTTTGGCTGGAAAAATTGGATGGATTACTTAATTCACATGATTTATATCATCTTAAATTTGTAAAATATATAACTAATCAGATTGACAACTCTGTGACGTATCTTGTGAGGTCCCCTCCAAATTTGTTTTGTACTAAAAAATGTTTTAAAAAATCAGAAATATCAGATATAAGCGAGTTTATTGCCTATTAATTCATAGTCATTACCAGGATACATGATAATGGAATTCAGAATTTGGCTGGACAAATTGGATGGATTTACACATGATTAATATCATTTTAAATTTATAAAACATTTTATCTAGTCAGACTCATATCACATGATTCATTTGTTGTCATTTAACTTGACATCATATCACATATAAAAGATATTTCTCAGGAAACAGAGATGACCACTCATAAAAGCTTGTAAAGATAACAAAAAGCTCATGATTTAAATGTGTAATTCTCTAATTGCCATTATAAGAACAAAAGCCCTAATTCAACCAGTCCACCTTTCATTCTGAGTTATAAAAAAAACATAAAGAACATCTAATTTACAAGGAGTATGAATAATTTAGTTGATAACTGTAAACAGTAAATGACGTAGCTTCTGTTTCATGCATGTAGAGTGACATCATTCTATAAAACATAATTAGAATATGATCGACACTAGCATGTAACCAAAATATCATCAACATTAGCATTACTAACAACCTACATGATTCAAGACATTCTTAATAAATGTGACTGTACCTAGAATAGTCCTCTTTCTCTTTGAATATTAACAAAATATTGTTCGTAGTCATAAATTCAGCTCTACAATTGTTCATAAATGCATTTTTGTTGATGTAAAGTTGAAGTAATTCTTTAAAAATGCATTGCCTATGTTCGGTGTTTAAATTGTTCTTTCAAAATTCACTACACATACAGTAAAATTAAACAATCAAATTTAAAACAAAGACAAGGAGATCGTGCAGTTAGATCAGTAACATAAAATAAACCAAATTACTTGACTAATCAACAACAAAAGAGCCATATACCTCTTTCTCTTGTTTTTCTTTGGCATATTTATCACATTCAAGATATATAATATCACACTAGCTGTTCCAGTACTTTTGTTCACCATGCTATGATTAAACATTCATAGAGCAAATCTACTTCACTAGCAATTGCAGTGGACCAAACAAAAAGAGTTGAAAGAGTACCGGTATATATCTCCCCACTATAACATTTTTTGTTGAGAATTCTAAACAATAGCTGACAAAATCACAACAATTTCCCCAAAATTATACTGACTAAAGATACCCAGAATAAACTGTATCATCAGAGGTAACATGATCTAGATAACAATAACATTATTAAACTGTAAGAAATCATGTGCTTAAAATACTTTGTCAACATAACACCTATGTTAAATAGTAAAGACATGCAGGTACATACATTTGCATAAAAAGGATTAATCGCTCACTGAATAGGGACTCTGGCTAATCATTGTCACAAATCTTTGCTCCAGTGATCTCGAGGCAGCAGACAGCAAGGTGCTGTTTGAATAATCACTTGGCTTTAGTAAGTCCATGGGAAAGGATGAAAGCTTGCCAACTAAATGTTAAGGTTGGTAAAAACTACATGTTATGATTACCCTAACCTATAAGTTTTCTGAGACAAGCAGGTAGTGTGAAATGCCCTTTCAAGCCTGTCTGCACTAGTTTGGCCAGGGAGGATTAGACCTCCCTGTAAGGTGACTGACAGGTGGTTATCTCATCAAATCAGCTCTCAATTAACATGAGAAAAAGGGGATCATGGGGGACCAACAGGCACCGTGTAGGCATTGTTTGCTATATAGAGGGCGCAAGTAGCTATAAGAAGTGCAGTGGGGCTTCCTCAAAGGGTAGGTTTGATTCAGAATTCAGACTCAGCCTCTCCCCTGCCCCCAATAACATTCAAAATAGTGAGAGGGAAAAAACAGATGCACAAAATGCCACCGTCCCCATCCTTCACTCATCCCCCAATATCCACATTCTTGCAACGCATTGGTCCAATCATTAAAACCTTTATATCAATATCAAGATGCATCATCAAACATCTTGGCGCTCTCAATACAATGGAATGATCAATGCCCCTAGACTAATGGTAGTGACCGTGCTTTGCAGATCAATAACATTGTGATTGTGGCAAAGACATAAAGGAAGGTCAAGTAATTTGCATCCTGGTGCGACCAGTCATCAAGGATAAGTGCCTTTGTGTGATAAGGTTTGATACTGAATCACCCACGATCTCATGCATAATTTAGCAGCTACAATTTACTTCTCGAGTGTCCAGGCACTATTAAAGACTTCCTATCCCTGCTGTGTTGAGTGGCATTATGTCATCACATGTAGTCCTACCATTTCCACTAATGCACAAAACACAATAGGTAAATACTTAATAGCACTTTGTTAACCAGAACATCAAGTACTGAAAATACCCCCAAACTGACCATTACGTCCCTTTTATCTCTTTCTCTGTTTCTGTCACTACTCAGATAGTGAACAGTTTATCCCTACCCTAAAATGATAAATCTTGAAATGGCCCAAGCTGACCTCTAAATGCATCCTGGATTTCTTTCTCAAGGAAAGTCCCTTCATTTCAAAATATGGGGGGGGGGGGGGGGGGGTCCAAAGAGAGGGTAAGATGTTAACATTTATCCCAAATTTCTAAAAAGTTATCATGCAAGCCTTTCGAGAGCCATGAATATACACAACTCACAGGTGAACTCGGGGAAGAAAGAAAAAGGGTAAATATCTGCTGCGTGAGAAGAAAAAAAACAAAACTCTTTTCCTGACATCATATCATGTTACATTGTAAACAAATCTACCAGCGACTGGGTTCATTATGGAAGACAAAACTTGATTACGTTTAATAATGAAGAAAAGAAGAATATGCTCCTATACCAGCTTAAACATATAGTCGGTGTCACCTTTCAGTTATAAGATGACTAGAAACTGCCTAATTTTATCTTACAGGGGAAGTCCACCCTGATATCAAGTTGGTTTTAATAGAAGCAGAACAAAATTTGTGCTTCTATTATATCAGCTAATTATCAGGGTGGCCTTCCCCTTGACATGCGTGAAATGAAGTGTTACAAGATAATCAAGGTTTGTTCAAATACAAGTACTGCAGAAGTTGGCAAACATTAAATACAACAGAAAATCAGAAATTAGATATAAAGATACATGCTTTGAGCTAGAAAGTCAACATTTTGTTTAAAAAAAAAAATCATAAATAGGTTTCTACACTTGTAGCAAACAACATCAACAAGATAAAATGACTGAGGATACATGCATATTTTGTAATTTACAACCAATTTGGAATGCTTGTATATAGATACAAATACACCAAACATTTAGGCTCTTAAACAAGGTTATAAAATGTCTGAAATATGTTTCAGTTGATAGTTATGTAATCCACTCCCTTCACATGTATACATGTACAGATTGCTAAAAAATACACCCCATAATAAATAGTTTTATCTACAATATACATGTATGAAAAGGACTAGCTGACTAGATTTTCAAATTAAATTGGATACAAATGCAGGATTTTGTTTCATCATTGCTGATTCTATGTACAAACTCCATCAAATGATGACCAAAATGTCAACATATTTTTCTGCACATTTTCAAACTTTATCTACATGTATTGTTAGTCTTACAACAAAAGTAAATTAAATTTGACAACGTACTCCTCTTCTACAAAAAAAAAGGCTACATCATTGTGAAATTAATTTGGCTACCTGCTCCGCAACCTACCGGGTATCTACAATGCAGATATGAAATTGGCTTTAACAGGAGTTTCAAAAATTGAATCTAAAGTTTCCTTGAACATGATATTATTAGCTGCATGTAGGTATCAATTAAGCTTCTCATGATCAAACTTAAAGACAGGAAGCACGACATGTGATCTCTTCTTTTTTACACACTGAAAGTCCCATGTAAATCATCACATGAAGATATATCAAACGTCAATGTGTAGGAGAGAGTGTTGTTTACACCAAGGACGGATACATGTATGTAGTTGATGAACTCTCGGATGTGAAATCATCAATGCGGCCATGTTTGACGTCTGTGTTCGTCAGAGGATGGCTAAATCACACATCTGGGCACCGCCTTATAAAGAGTTACGATTGATCCAAATCAATCGTAAGTCCTCCAATCAATCACAAGTTTGCAGTCTCCTATCTCTTATGTACATAGTTGCGATTGATATCTATTCTTTATATGACAGGGCCCAGACTTATCACATCATGATATAATGTCCCTATGCACTTCCACAGGAGTTTACATAATGTCATTTTTTATTTATCATATCACATTATTTTGATAAAATTGACACTTCCTTGTCTAACTCTAGTGGTCGTTCTATACATGTTTGACTGGACACTAGGGCCCTGTCTTACATGTATAAAAGAGTTGAGATTGATTTGGATCTCTCGGAGTCCTCCAATCAATCGCAACTTTGCAGTCTCTCCTATCTCTAATATGTATATAGTTACGATTGATTTCCATTGCAAATAAGTTGCGATTAATCGTGACTGTTGATGAGACGATGCCCTGAATCATTTTCAAGATCAATTCCTGATCCTAACCTGCAAATTCTTGCCTTCGATGATATGCATGTAGTGTTTCGTGTTACAGAGAGGTAGCCTTTCTTTCATCAGTAAAAGCAACATGTGCATAATTCATTTTATGAAGTTGACTTCTAAATTGTAGTTTGTGCTAGTCCCGCTTTTCATCGTTCAGAGGAATGTGGTATTATCAGGTAGATCTCTATTACGACCCCTGGCTTCAAACAACTGCCTTATGAGGGCAGCCTTCTCTTGTTCCAGTTTGGAGATCCGGTCACTCTTTGATGAAACCTCCTGAAATGCAGATAAGTGGGAAAAAAATTCTGTGTGAATATCAGAGCCTAAATGACTTGAAGTTATGGTTTTATAAATTGAAACATATATTTCAGTATCAAAATTTCATTTTGGGACAAATTCAATGAAATGTATCAATTGTGAGCATGAATAGCAACCCCAAAACCAATAATTATGTCAACTATCAAATACAAAATGAATGTATCTATTCTAATAAACCATCAATAAAATAAAACAATATCAGATTGTCTTGAGGTTAATGCAATGAAATTTTGGATGAGCTTTGCAATAATAACAGACAAGTCAAGTCTTTAATAAACAAATTCAATATCTTTTGCATATCGAGTTCACTATTTCCTGTATTGGGCCTAATTAATTAAGACATCCAATATCATTTATATACCTCACTTAAGAAATCCAGCCATCTGATTGGTCGAATTGCATTCACAAACTTCAACTGTTCCTGTAAAATTCTCGGTAACCATGCATAAAACATTTCAATATTTTTAATAACCATGGTTATTAAAAAAAGTTGGTCAGCCTCCATGGTTACCCCATAGGTTTACATGTTAAAAAATGGTTTGAGCGACGGAGGATGCCGTATGTGTGCGAAGGATTGGTCGGTAATTTCAATACAATTGAATCTCGATCGATCTTACCGACAATTTTATCTTGCATTGTTGACATGAAGACGAAAATAAACTTCCAAAAACAAAAAAACAACATCTGCCGATAGATCTTGATCTAAGTTCGTGCCAATATGCATTGCAAAAGTAAAAGAAGAGTCCGTATATGGAGCTTTTGCGAAGCATTCATCACACGCGAAGCCGGTTTCAATCCATTTTAATGTACATGTATATATTGGAGAAAACTGCCAAGCATTTTAACGGCGGGCCATAGCCGAGTGGTCTAAGCGTTGGTTTTCGGTACACCTCTTGTTGTACGCAAGAGTTCGAATCCCGTCTTCGACAAAAATGATAGATATTTTTAATTTTTCATTTTTTAGTCTATTTTTTTTCGGCATATAAAAGTATTAATGACTGCTTTAATATTCGAGAAATAGTTGTTTTCATACGCTCTCGGGAAGGTTACAATTGGGCTATTCCCCTCGGCAAGCCTCGGGGAATAGCACAATTCTAACCTTCCCTTGAGCGTAATAAAACAACTATTTCTCTCAAAGCAGTCATTAATACTATACTATCACGTAGGCCTGTTTTTAATTCTATTTTTTATTAATATCATTGTTGAAAAGGCATCAAGAATCAAGATTACACTTAAAATACTTTGGTATTAAACAAGTGTCTCTAATTTTTGGTACGCATACTGTACATCTCTTATTCTTACACAAGAAATATTCAGCAGTCTGAAGAACAGACTATTGGTTGAGCTTGCAAAATTCAAGTCATTGAAGGTTCATGAAATATCCTAGCAAATAATATTTTGACTCTGAAATGTTTTTAAAGATTTATAATATTCAATCTATTATACCCTTTTCCCTTCCACAGAAGACTTCTTTCATTTTACTTATCCATTGGAGATTAAGTTTGCAATGGCCTTGGACTAAACCCATCAACAATACCTATTCAATTGAAATCTAACTGTCTCCAAAAGGATAAATGAAACTGCTCATCAATAACCCAACTTATTCACCAGACCAAAACAATGTAATCTCTCTTTTTAGCATAAACTATTCTTTATTGATGAAACTGCTCATCATTAAACCAACTTTTCTTTTTGAATGAACAACATAATCTCTTTTTTTTAAGCTAAAAAAAAACCTTTTGGAAAGTAGGGGTGCCGGGGTGAGGGATAAAACTTGTCCAATAGCATGAACAACGTAATCTCTCTTTTACGCAAACAAAAATTACTTTGAAAAGTGGGGGATAAAACTAACTTCATGGTCTATTAAATAAGTGATATTGGCTTTGATGGTAAGCCACATATATCTTCTTATAAAGAGATCTGTGTTGTTACTAGTACTCCTAACACACAATAAGCAAATAGCCTGTTCCAGTGATACTGTCTTTTCCATTTACCAGTATCTGCAAAACATTTTTTATGTTAAACTTTGAATTGTAGAGATGTTGTGGTTGAGTGGATACTTCACCGGACTGTGGATCACAAGGTCCGCGGTTCAAGTCTCGCCGTAGCACTCTTGTCCTTTGGCAAGACGTCATCTACATTTGCCACACTCAACTGGGTGATGTAAACAAGTACCTGGCAGGATGTTGGCTCCACAAACATATTTAAACCATTTTTCCCTATCTTGAGCAATTCTATATGCCTTCTGGAAGATACCGCCTACAAGGATGTCACTTTCCCATCTCTTCCTTTGTCTTCTTTGCCTCAGTATTTGTTCCTTTGTTACCTACCTCTGTTAATTGTTTATTCTGCTGTTTGAGTTTGCCCACCATGAGGGGTGCGCCAATGTCCAGCTGACTACCGGTAGACTTCCCATACTGGTGGTTGATAGCGAGGTTCATGTGGTTCGGAAAACCCTGCAAGAAAAAAGTACAAATAACAAGTTGAAATAATCATGTAATAATATCAATAATACAGTCAAACCTATTTTAGTGACCATTTGTCTACAAAGACCACATTTTTTGTTCCTCATTGAAACATATGCACTAAAGGAACCTGTACATAAAGCCCACCTGCCTTAAAATACCACTTTTCTTGTTTCCCTTGGGTGGTCTTTATAGACAGGTTTCACTGTAGTATGACTCAGAAGGCATTTTTTTTCTCCTGAGAATACGAGTTCATGACATTTTTTAATACAGAGCAATTTGGAGACTTTTTTATTTATTTATTTCTAATCTAATCTTCTAGCCCATTCACAAATAAGTACTGGTAGTGGTCTTCCAGAGAGTACCTCGTCACAGCATCATGTGTGTTTGATATGGTCACAACTTTAAAAATTCATAACTTTCCTACTTTTAATGGGACATTGTTCAAACTTTCACTAATTTGTTTCTCTCTTTTTTCTGCTTCTATCAAAACCAATTCAGTATCAGGATAGACCTCTCCTTTAAGTTAATCTGTCCCCACCGCCTTTCACAAAATCCTTAAAACATCCAATAAAGCCTTCAAGGTAGAAGCTGGCAACAGACAAAAGAACTAGACAAGGAAAACATTTAACTAACAGCCTGCCAAGCAAACAGAGACACAGATGGACAGACAAAGGGAAACAAACAGACACGCAGATGGACAGACAAAGAGAAACAAACAGAGATGGGAGGGATCATAGGCGTTGATGGATGAAGAGATCCTAGCAGAAACACAACATAAGACTATAACAACAGGCTTTGCATGTGAGAGCATGTTGGTATTCCCTTGAATTCCAACAGTCATGGCCCTATACATGTATGGCTTTTTTTTAGATCTCCCATATTCACTTCTTTTTATTCTTTCCAAGTCTAAGATACTTATTTAAAATGTATATCATTTCCTGTATGTATTTCATGATGTATTGTACGTATATATTTGTACATATGTATTTTATTTTTTTACTTGAAATGAATACCGTAAACGATTGAGTAAATGCTATAGTGTACATTTCTCAGACAGACTTGTTAAAGTGCTTATACACTGTTGATGAATCTCTTGTCTCCATAGCAACATTGGTTTCAAAATAATTAGTTTTGTTTGTATGTTTTAATGCAAATAATATAAACCTATAAAATACACACCACACACTTTATCAGCATTATAACTTAATTTAAAGATAAGCTTGTGTTCTGGTAATGATAGAGAATAAATTCTTACAGAAACAAACAAAAATTACACTGAATATTCAAGATTACAAATAAAAATGACATGTGCAACATGATTTTGGTTAAAAATGTATAGTGGCTGAGTAATGAGCATAGAAAGATATGGAAATCCAGGTAAGTATATACATGTAGGCCCAACACTATGTGCTTTAATAACACAGGTCAATATGTGCTATCGAGAGTTGTGGTTTTTATTGAAGATGTTTTCCAGCAAGTTTTTGTGAGTTTGTTTTTAATCGACTGGTTCAAACAATCAATCTACAGCAGGATAAACAATCCAGAATGAATTATAGCCATGTTCTCTCGAAAAACGATTCCCATACCAGAGCTCGAGTTTAGCTTTAACTTTCACATTCGAGGACGAAACTTAAAGGGGAAGTCCACCCTGAAATTAAGTTAGTTTTAATAGGAGTAGAAAAATGAGAGAAACGAGTCAGTGAAAGTTTTAGCAAATTCCGATTAAAAATAAGGAAGTTAGGATTTTTTAAGTTGTGATCAATCAAACACAAATTGGCAACTCTATGACGTATCATGCGAGCTCAACTTCCATTTGCTCAGTACTAAAAAAATCTAAAATTTTCATTTTCCCTCAAGAAAAATTTCAACCATACATGCACCCTAAATATAATAATTGCAAATATGTTTCTATACTCCCCCTGCAAGGAACAAATATATATTCCGTCATCAATAACGAAGAAAACATGATTTTATGGAATATTATGCACAAAGCAAATGAAGGAGAGCTCGTATAATAAGTCACAGAGTTGCCAATTTGTATTTGATTGATCACAACTTCAATAATTCATAACTTTCTTATTTTCATTCAGAATTTGCTCAAACTTTCACTCACCTGATTTTCTTATTATTCTGCCTCTATCGAAACAAACTTATTTTGGGGGGTGGACTTTCCCTTTAACGCAGCAAGTACCAAACTTGCCATTATTGCATGACGCATGTTTGAGCATGTTTGAACCAATCACACAAAATCAACAAACTACATTCTGGGGATGATATAAAGCTTTAAACATGCTGACCTAGATCATTACCAGCATACCATTCCAAGACTCCCACACAAATATGTGAGTCCATTCAGTACGAGACAATAGACAAGTTAAAAAGTGATAAGAGTTCAAATTGAACACTGCTCATGGATCATTTGATTTCCTTCTTTCATATCATTTTGGAGGGATTTTCTTATTACTCAGTTATCCATGAGGGTATGTAATACTTTCAGAATTGTGACACTGTGTCAAAAAATGATGGATAGAATTGTGAAACTGTATTTTTATTTTAAAAAGGGACATGTACATGTACAATGTAGTAGGCTTGTCTATAGACTTGCTTTTCAGAACTTCAAACTTTTGCTATGAAGGAAAATATATACTTTTTTGTAAGCACTTAAGAAATGATTCCCATTGCTTGTTCCTAATTTTTATTTAATGATATTTTCAAAAAGTAAATTATTAGTTTTTATGCTACTACTACTACTTCTACTACTACTACTACTACTACTACTACTACTACTACTACTACTACTACTACTACTACTACTACTACTACTACTACTACTACTACTACTACTACTACTACTACTACTACTACTACTACTACTACTACTACTACTACTACTACTACTACTACTACTACTACTACTACTACTACTACTACTACTACTACTACTACTACTACTACTACTACTACTACTACTACTACTACTACTACTACTACTACTACTACTACTACTACTACTACTACTACTACTACTATGATGACGATGACTACTACTTCTATTACTACTACTTCTATTACTATGATTTCTACAACTGCTACTACAACTACTTCCACTCCCACTACTACTGCCACTACCACTACCACTACTACCACTACCACTACCACTACCACTACCACTACCACTACCATTACCACTACCACTACCTCTCCAACTACTACTACCACTACCACTACCACTACCACTACCACTACCACTACTACTGCCACTACTACTACTACTGCCACTACCACTACCACTACCACTACCACTACTACTACCACTACCACTACCACTACCACTACCACTACCACTACTACTATAACTACTACTCCTATAAAGAAAATGCTAATTAAGGACTAATTAACATGAAATGGGAGCTCACGGTCACATTAATTCACAATGACTTTTGACAGCCTCAGACACTATTGAAATGCAGCAAAGCATGCAGAATTCATATGACCTCAATTAACAATACGATCAATATCAACGGGCTATCACAGGCAGCTGCTCACTTTCTGACAATACGATGATTGTTACAGTTCCTATTTTTCAAAGGGCAAACCGTTTCAAATGTCATCACCACCACGACCCCAGAATAATAATTGCTTGAGATCCATGATGCATTTATGTGCAATCTAATACTAGTAGTGACTCAGGGAGCCAATATGACCAGAACCTCTCCTTCTAATGTTCTTTCTAAAACGATTCCGCCGTATGAATTTTCTTTTCATTTGCTTGCCATCCATAAAATGCATGTTCATGCCCTGTTCCAATATCCATATATTCACTTTGGTTCCTGTTTATATTTTGTTTATTTTGCTTTTGATTCATTCTTGGGGTTTCAATCTGATCAGTGGAAGATAAAAAGCTCAAAATCTTTATCATCTGCTGAATACAAAATTAGCCAACAATACAATCGAAATCTGTCTACTAACTTTACAATTTGAATTTAAATCTGAATTTGAAATTAATCGAAAAATCATTATTCTTTACAACATGAACAAGCTCAATATGGCCTTCTGTTACGCTAGGAGAGCAATCAGATGTGCACTTTTTATCTGCATCCTTGAATCGGTCATTGTATCTATCCAATAATCTTGTTCCTCTAGGCCTGTCCTCATCAGCTCGAGTTTGCCAAATAACCCGCTATTTTCAGACTCGGTATATTATCCCAAAGCTCGAAATTGCGTCCTCACCAGACGGATACACTCATCACAAACTAACTCAGACAGGCGCAAATTAGCCCGCTATTTCCCAAATCCTGGGATATTTCGGAAAACAAGACCAAGATTTCTCAGGATATTTTCTCAACCAAATATCCAGCTAATTGCAACTGCGGGCTGATGAAGCCGCAAATTAACTGGTTAATTCGCGATCGGGATAGTTAAAATCCGGGTTATTTGGCAAACTCTAGCTGATGAAAACAGGCCTTTTGTATCTATTCAATCATCTTGTTCCTCTGCGCTCACAAACAAGGTGAACATGACTTCTCTTTACAACCTCGGTGCTATCTGAAAGCAACGCCTTGAGGCAAGGAGAAGATGATATCTCGGTCGTAATTGAATTGAGGAGAGAGCTTCAGATTGGCTTACCTTTTCCGGAGTAGCTATGAGTGCCCTGAGTTGCCTGTTCAGTTCGGTGATACGCGTTGTCCTGTATACAACCATGTCCTGATGATCAATGTCCTGAAGGATTAAAGAAAGAGAAAAGGAAATTCTAAATACAGTTTTGTGAAATGCAAATGTAAAAACACATCCCCCCCCCCCCCCCAAGTAGGGAAACTCAATTTTAAAAATTCATATTTTCCAAAATCCATCAACCATATGTCATCATCATCATTATCATCAAGTACAAGGTCTGTAAACAGACATCAGCAGCTATAGCCCTTCATTTCTGTTTATTATCTGCTATTCTTAAAAATCATATTTAGTATACCTAGTGATAATACTGATGATGATATGATGTAAAAAGAAACAACATATATTCTAAGAAATATTTATTTTAAAATCTATTCTGAGAATACAGCACAGCAGGTTTAGGAATGGCATCACTGTATTATGCAATACTGTTGTCAGTTGATAAAACTGGATAACATTCACAATTTCACATACATGCTTATCTGATTAACTTTTTTTTTAATGTACGTCTGAACAATCATCAAATAAGTTATTTAAACATATCAGTTTATTGAAGATAATGAATACCCTTTCCTTTACGCACCCCTTTCTCCCACTACAAAATAAATAAAAATTCACAGCTCCTTTTGGATTTTCTATAGATCGATCTTTCCTAAGCTTTTACTAGCCTGTCATGTAAAATTACTGTCTTGTCCCGTTCTCGTCTCTGTTGGCATCCCCCTTTTTTCACCTACATGTATTTTGTTAATTTAATTACTCATTATTTCTAAATATCATTTGAGGTGTTCACACTTGTACAAGCATTGCTTTTTAGTGGACCCCTCTGTTTCCAATATGTATTTCTACATTTGCTGTAAATATTTATTATTGATTTGTAATGTTTTGTTGGAAACATAAATAAATTGAAATTGAAATTGAAATTGAAGAAAAGAAAGCTTGTGTATTTAATTTTTTTCTTTACATCTTTATTTTTTTCTTTAGAACGTCATACCTCTGTGAAGTCAACTTGTGCCTTGTTGATTCTGTCCTGCCTGTCCCTGACGCTAGATAGTTGTTGTCGATACCAATCCCTGGCTAGCTCTAGAGCCTCCAAGCCCTGCAGGAAGATGTCTCTCTCTTGCTCCAGTTGCTTCATACGCTTCAGCTATAGAAAAACAATATTACAAAATAATTTTTAAAAATAAAATAATAATAAAATAAAAATTAAATTGCTTCATCCAGTTCACCAAGAGAAGTCCAAAGTTTATGTTTCATGAAATACTTATGTCCCACACACTATCAATTACTTTAAATGAACATAAGTTGAAATCATATTCCATTTTTAATATATACAATTGTAGCTTCATGCAGTTCACCAAGAGAAGTACATGGTATTATGTCTCATGAAATACTTTTGTCCCACACACCTTTAATTACATTAAATGAACTGTTATGAACATATAAAGTTGAAATCATATATTCCATTTTTAATATATACAATTGTGTTACGTTTATAGATCGATCTACTTGGCTATGGACCTGCCGATAGATCAAATAAAATGACATCTTCAATGAAGAGTCATATTTATTCAATGAAAATGAATGGATTGTGTATAACATGATGGGGGGAAAACTGATTAAATACTTCTTCTTCTTCTTCCAGTATAGTACAGTCCGCCGTTGGCGTATTATCGTACCTTGTGTTTGTCAAGTGCCGAGTGTACAGTGCAAGTAAAAAGGTTCTACAAGAATTGGTTTGCTTTGCTTCAATTTTAAACCAAATATTGTATGAATCAAAGTCCTTGTACATGTAGTTGATTACACAGAGATTACTTGGAAAAATTAATGAATCAAGGCTGCATTATGCACAAATACTTAGTTGTAAGACTGAAATTAGAGTATTAGAGCATGTACACCTATTTTTTTTAACAAATATCTAGTTGTAACACTGAAATTAGAGTAAGAGCATGCATGTACACTCATTTTTCACAAATACCTACCATAGTTGTAACATTAAAATTAGAGTAACAGCATGTATACCTATTTTTCACAAAAATTTAAGCACGGGAAAGATGGAAACGTGTCCTGACTTGCAAGTTACAATATCTTTAGTTAAGGTACATGAGAAAGTACCGGTATATAATATCAAGCAGACAATGTACAGTGTATATGAACCAGCACTGTGAATAACCAAACAGTTCTTCAAGTGTACCTGTACATGTCTACAAATGATGAAGTACCCCTTTGCACAAAATAAACAGAAATCTTATCACTTGTATAAACTAGTAATTATCTTAATCTAAATACAAGTTTGCAAACATCATGTACATGTATGTAAAGTGTTATGACATTGGGTCAGCTTATCCACAGAGATTATCATTACTTGGAGCAATGACTTTTTTGTTAAAAAGCGTTCCACAAAGCCCAGACACTGGGGCAATCAATAACGTTGCCCCCATTGTCGAACGGTGCTGATCTTGAATCAGAAATCAATACGTAGCTCTTGTCATCGTCAATTATTCAGGAGGATTATACATCCAGAACACAGCTGAGTCTGTGTTCGTTGAGGGGGAGCACGTTTTTGTGTTAGGTCCATGCTTTGATGTTCAGGAGAGAAAAGCAGTGATGTGGGCGGACCATTGTTTAGAAGCGTTGACAAGACTCAAGAGTTGGTCTTTGCAACTGGCAAGACTTAGGTTAGATAATGGGCAAGGCATCTATTCATGTTTCAGAGTAGCCACTTACATGTGGTTCTGCAAATGTGACACACTTTTGTGTTAGGTCCCTGCATTGATTTTCAGGGGAGAAAAGCAGTGATGTGAATGGACCATTGTTTAGAAGTGTTGACAGAGTTGGCCTTTGCAACTAGCTGGCAAGACATAGAGAATGGGCAAGGCATCTAGATCTATTCATGTTTTAGAGTATGTGGCTCTGCAAATGTGACACCCATTATGTTACCCCTTCCCCACCACTTAAGACATTATGTCTGCACCATCTGTAAACAAAGCTGGTAATCAATTTCAAAAGAAATCGTAACATGGTATGAAAAATATCAAGTCTGGTAGTAAAGACTAGTCATCCAGGACGGTCTATTGTGGACACCTTCTCCCCTGGTCACTAACTGGTCAGCTACCTTCCTGGGCGGTCAGTTACAATGATCAATGGAGTCATTTACCTCAAAAGACATTGGTCTCCTCTGACCAGGAGCTGGTCATCTACCTTAGTATTATTTCACAATTGACCAAAGGAGTCATTTACCTTTAACAGTCTAAAGACACCACTAGTACAAACATTGGCCTCTGTTCACTAACTGGTCAGCCACCTTAAGAAGCTGTCTCTGAAAGGGAGGAGAGGAGTCTGTTACCCCTAAGAGACCCCTAAGAGACCGGTATCATGTCCCGATGCAAAGTTCACTGACACCCATCAAAGGAATTCGTGAAAGGGTTTAAACTTTAAAGAGATAATTGCTCCTTGAAATCAATGTACCGTATACTTGCCACTGCTTCAGAAATTTCTGATGGGGGGATATGGGATTAAGACGAGTCTGATTCAAGTTTGAACTTCATATCGTGTTTTAATTAAAGAGTCATAATGGAATTAACTTGTAATCATTGACTAAATACACATGTAATGCCCTTCTGTTTGATGATAACATGCTTACAACTTTATAAAGACTTGTTTGTGTATGCTGTGGTGTACCGCTGCAATTAAATCCTTTTTTTTTTTTTAAAGTGTTCTGCACTTCACCTTTTCATATCTAACAATAAAAGGCACAGATTTTTAAATTGAGTACACATAGGACCTTTGTTGCACCCAGCTACTTTTAAATCCCTACCAGGGAAAAAATTAACATTTATTTTTCGGGGGCTACTTTTCAAGATTGCCTGCATGAAATTAACACTGTAAAATTTGTTTTAGTTTGAACTCTATGCAAATTTACAGGGGCTCTTTTGGGGGCTATTTCGCCCCGAGCCCCCATGTATTTCTTTCATTGATCCCTACCTGCCTTTCATTTAATAGATGAATGCCAAGTGGGGTGAGAAAAAGGTTCTTGTATCTTTGCCCAACAAAGCCCTCAGGCGCGCTCATTGGTAACAGAAACGTGAGGAGCACCAAATGTCATTCTATTTTGCCGTTGGAGGTTTTTTAACCCAGTTTAGCGCATCGTACGAACAAGGCTTCATCTTCTCAAGCCGACTCTGTGATAGTGTACAGAAGGAAAGATTGGATGAAGGGGTGATGCACTTTGAATCCCAGAACAGATAAACCCTTTATATATATTCTACCATTCTTATGAACGACTGCAATGATGCAATCAATAGTATTGTTGTGTCTTCCTCTTAAATCTTTGTCTCATCCCCTTTCAGTGCTTGCATGGGTAGCCACTGTTCTCTCGTAAACACAGAATCGCTCTGTCCAGTTTGTTATGCTGACCATCATACTACATACATGTACCGTATGTATTTAGTGACTTTTCAAAGAATTGGTTGATAATATATGAGAGGTCCTTACAATGTACACAGTGACTTAAAAGCATCCAAATAAAATGCAGATATTTAAAAAAAATGAAATATCCACCTATCACATATCATCTGTTTGCATTTTTTACAACAAAAATTAAACAATAAACCATATACTCACTGTTCAGTGCTAGACTTATATAAAATCCTTATCCCTCATAGAAAGTACCCGGAGACAAAAGTCTTGCCCACCAGGATTTAATTTATGCCATCTTTCCTATTCCTTGAATATACCGGTAGCTAATAGACGTAATAATTTTCTCTGTAAAGTCAATGGTGGAAGGAAATAGTCCAGTAGTAAACAATTAGCTCATGTATTGAAAAAGGCATCTAATTTTGAATACCCACATGAACATCTAAAAATGTTCTTACTTTAACTTATTTAAGCAAATTAAGGTCAATCTCAACATTTTTTGTTCTACTTTATTTATTCCATTAAAAAAATGTGTTCTATCGGCACTTCATGATAATAAGGAAAAATATATGGCATTTATACCACTTTTGTTGAGGCACTGCTTTTTATGGTCTATATTTCCAGCAAATAAAACGCTCTTTTATTTCTTACAGAGTGCCGGGTCTAAACATCACATGTCTAAACTTGTTTACAAGCAGGCCTCAGGTGAAAATATGTACTGGTACTTGTTTCTAATAACTTCCTAATACATCGGGGAGCAATTAGTGCCTGCATGGGGGAGTCAAGCAACTTTCAGATTACAAACACCAGATCGAACGCCCCTACTAACGTGAATAGCAAGACAGCATGTTGTCCCCACGCAGAGTTCCTTTATAATTCCAAGAAGGCAGGCATTGTTGTTTAATATTGATCAGGCACACTGCGCTCAATTAAAGAGTTTCTATTGATGTTTCCTGTCGGGGGTCTGTGGAGTGGGTTCGGGCAGGGATTTACACCTGGTTATTTACTGCATGGCTGGCTTGGTTACCAGCAAGCTGTGACGAACAGCTAGCTCGATCCACTCTCATGATTTATTCATGGGTTCTTGATGGAAGTATCATGCAAGCTCATGGTGCTTACATGGTTTCTTAATTAACTTATCAGCAAAGAAAAAACATATAATACTACCCAGTTCTCAATGCTGCATTGTTTATCCAAATTTTATAAATTAATACCAGGATGATGTGAATCTTTACCAAGGCTATTCACATCCAGCTGTGCACCTAGAATTAGTTGTGCATCATAATGATGTCATATGTTTTGATTCAGCTCATAGAGCTTCTCCCTACAATGTATATTCTATAAATACAATTTGTATTTTACTCCCAGATTCGCACACACTATGAATCAATAAAAAGCCCAAATGAAGAATCATACAGAATTTTTTAACAAACTGCCTTGCAAAAATGCAACAAACGACTCAAAACGTCTGAAATCAAATTTTTATCTCCTAATCAGGCTATACATGTAAATGTATCTCAATAGAAAACTCCAAAAATATCAATAAAAATGCTCTTTGCTCATGAAATTTAAAATTTGACTACCAGAGATTATTTTTCTAACAGAGACTTTCCTTCAGGTCGATTTGACATTGCAAATTCTTTTTTATTTGAAAGAATCCGTCAATTACTACTATTTTATGAATCGGTGAATCATGCATCCATGTGCACTTATTGGTCTTCGTGAATATCA